TCTTAAATTTCTTTGTCTGTCTTTCAATTCAATCATGGAAAATGTCACATCATGATCCTCCAATTTCTTATATACTGGTGGAATCTTCTCTTGAATAGCAGTTGCAATATCTTTTGCGTCCTCAGCTGTCTTTCGAGTCGAGGCAGATTCCTGTAGTAATTTTTCGATGGTCTCTGTGTTGGTATTCACCTTCTGCCCCAAGATGTTGATACTTGCAGTATTTAAATCAATTTTGCTTGATGCTTCCGCAACTTGTTTATTTGTCTCAGCTACTTGCCTGTTTGTCTCAGCAACCTGTTTACTTAAACTTTCCAAAGATTCATTAATTTTTGCAAGTGCCTGTGCCAAAACTTCTTCCGACGACATAACTTTTGGTTTGACCTGTGGGAGTACGGCCCCTGATGTTCCAGATGCTCCAGATGTTGAGCCCCTTCGTGGCTGCGCAGTGTCTGTCCGATAATGTCTGCCAGTTTTTTCCTGCGACTCTATCTTCCCTTTGCCATCTGCCATAACAGTCTCATGGAAATTCAAGGTCACTCCCACAGTTAAACAATTGTTTTGGAATAGGATGGAATTTTCCTCTAAGCCAGTTGTTATTGTAACAATGTCCAGCTTCCTCTAGGGGGACACAGTAGCAGCCAGAACTTGCAGTTTTTAAGAACAAAGATAGTTTTTATAAGTCCCCCAAAAAACAACAGTCTCAGTGCACTTAAACAGTTACTTTCAAACCAAGCCAAGTCCAGAAACACTGTATCCCTTTTGCAGTATTAGCTTTCAAAAGTAAACTTTCCACTGTGCAACCCTTATCTCAAGGCAGTCCGTTCCAGGTTTTAAACAACAAATTTTAGCTTCCTTTTCCCCTTCTTTTTTGCAGGTAAATTTAGCTCAGTCTTTTCCCCCCTCCTCTCCTGCAATCCGGAGGGGGGACCACTTTCCAAATGTTGAGATTTAGCTCTTTTTTCAAGCAACTTTCTATGTTTCCGCTTTAGAGTCTCTTTGCTTTGATCTATTTACAATAAAAGGAAGGCAGACTTCCTGGTTGTACCTTCCCGCTCAGTACCAAATTAGACTTTTTTTTTTCCTTTTGAATCCAATTTAATCCTACTCACGGGTAGTTGTTTTCAAAATCCAATTGTCCCAGGAAAAAGGCAGCGCTTTCCGGCAACAGCTTCGCGGCTTCGCTCCACGGAAGAAGCAATTTGCTCACAGCACCACGCCACCCCCGCTCCGCTCCGGAGCCCATTGCCGATCTCCTTTTGCAATTGGGGGGGCGCAAACGGTGCCTGTTGAGTCCCACGGTCACAGACTTCACCCGCCTGTGGTTTTTTAGGGGGTCCCCGCTGCGCCGTAGCGGTAAAGACCCAAATTCCATAGAGCCGGTTCCCTCCGAATCAGAGAGAAGCAGCCATTACCGATGGCACCACCCCGGAAGTAGGTGGAGTCAGCAGTTTTGAGGATAATGAGATTGTTTTTAGTTAATAGCAAACCAATGGAAATTAATTGACTTGAGTTAGTTACGCCCATTATTTTCAATGTGTCTACTTTGAGTAGGGCTGACACAGGATGCTACCTAAGATAAGCAGCATTTTGCTCACCACAAATTGTGTTGACCTCAACTCTGCTTGCAGGAATTTTAGGAGCAGTGTTCACTGATGAGAGAAACATACTCCTCTTCTCACAAGGCCCAAAGGGTTTGCATTGGGTCTGCTCTTGAAGGGAGGTGGAATAAGCTAAAATCATGTGGATATGTTGGACAGTGGGACCACACAATGCCCCCTTTCTGGTTTGTCTTTTTATGGCATGATGGATCACCTATTCCTGCCGACAGGTGTCAATATAGGTAAGACTGGGCACTTTGGGATTGGGTAGATTTTTTTGGTCTATTTTCCTGTTTGTCTGTGAATACTGGGCATTTTACATATACATTATACTGCACTTGGAGGGGCGATTGCACTATTGACAAGGGTGGTTGTCAGCATACATCTGTATCAAGAGACAATGGAAGAGTGTGTCATTGGGCATAAAGTCAAACCTCTGGAGAGTTACAGCATCTGCTGTGGCTGTCAAGACGTGTTTTATTGCAGATGAGGCAAATGAAGGCATCCAGTTTTGCTGCTACATATGCACCATGGTGTTTCTTCTTTTTGACAGGGGTGATGTCTGCTTAAATAGGTTGGTGACATAGGGCAGGGCGGGGGGGGGAGCACCAAGAGAGTCACAGGTGAGTGTCCTATGTAGGGATAGAGGACAAATTTAATTCAGTTCACATTTAAAGGTGATTAAACCTTATTTGGATTTACCTAATTTGCCCTTCCTGAAACAATATGCAAACCAAAATGCAGCCATCCTTCGAGAGTCACACTTCTCTGAATTTTGCAATGGAGTTTTCCCAGCAAGTAATGTGTACAGACATGCATTCCCTGGATCATGGCTTCCATTATTGCTGTGGAGCTCTTAAAGCAGGAAAGAACCCATCTTTGAGCTTAAATAGATTAAACTTTGCAAATAAAACTTTTAAGAAACCACAGGGTAGATCTCAACACAGTACTAGATAGAACTGCTGCAAATCTGCTTGGTAATGGTAAATAAATTTGTGGCAGTAATTGCCCAGTTACCTGTATCTTGCCTTTTTCTTTCAGGCATGGAAGTCACCTACACTTCCATGTTTCCAACACACTGATTAAGTACTAAGGAGCAGCTATTGTCTTTTGCACTTGCAAAAGAGAAGGATTATTTTCTGATTTATCTTCTTAACCCACATTTGTAAACACATTTAAAGTGTACCGTTTTTTTACATGTATAAGACGCCCCTATGTATAAGAAGCCCCTTATTTGGGGGGACTCATATTTAAGAAAACGGAGGGAGATCTACACGTGTATAAGATGCCCCCAAATTTTGGGCATCATTTCTTAGGAAAAAATCCTATTCTTATACAAGGAAAAATACGGTACATGCCAATGAATGTGATATGGGACAAAGTTTATAAATGTCACTGTGGCTACTGTCTCTTAGCGATGGCTTCTGTAGATGTTATCCCTATGTGGGGGTGGAGGAGGGAACCACAATGTTGTTTACTCCAGAAATCAGTGCAAATTGAATTATGAGAGATGGCATCACTTTAAGATTGTTCATTAGGCCACATCTACTGAGCAAACTAGTGTTGATCATGGATTGCCCTTGATTTCACTTTGTGGTGTAACACTGAGAAAATCAACCACAGAAGATATTATCAGAATTTGGTTTTTCACTTAGCCATAAGTGAACATGTAAAGGCTAAGAATTTAAACTTTAAAAGGCTTTACATGTATTAGAAAGCTCCTTTCTGTCAAATTGGTTCTCTTTCTGCTTACTTGTTGGCTTCTGTAAGAGTGCTATCATGGATTGCACACCTGCATATAAATATATACACACACCTTCACATGTAAATTGCATGAAGGGGGAATCACAGGATGCTACCTGGATGTTCACACATTGGCATGGCCATGTGTACTGAAGGAGATGATGACAGGATTACAACTAGTATGAGGGTTCCTACTTCTGTGTTCAGGAAGCCTATGTGTAAGCAACAGGTTACACAAAAACATCCAGACACCTCAGACATCTATGCAATCAGCAGTCCAAATCCCATGGAAGCCTAAAGGGGAGTCATCCATAGACTTATTCCATTCACTTGTTCAAGTCGACTCATGCACATATAGGGGTTGCCCCAGCAGCAAGTCCAGAGTAGGGCTGGATGAATCTGTAAATGTTGGTTTCTCTCGACTTCATTTCATAGTTTTAAATGCAGTGCATTTTATTTCTTAGTCCTGGAAAATTATCAGCATTTTGGCATGTTTTTGCAAGAAGTTCCCCCCTAATTGTATGTAATTTTGCATGAAATGTTCCCTAATAGCGTGCATTTTTGTATGCAATTGTCACAAATATATACCTATTGATGCATGCTTTCTCCTAATATATACATTGTTGTACGCATTTCTTTTTTATCAAACTGCACCGCAGAATCTGCTGCAAATTTTGAAGCAAACCTGTGTTTCAGTTTCCCCAACATTTATGGAAGTGTAAATTAGGTAGGTTCTTATTAACCCAATTTTCTCCCTCCCCCTAGGCCAACGGCAGTAGCAAGATCAGCAAGAAGGCCCTGCTAACTGGTTATTATCACAAAATATTCCTTTCTTTTTTTCCAGCAGAATAATTTTTCTGAAGGCATGGTAGCAGCTAAATCCAAACACCCTAAGACTTTTCTTTATCTTTCTCTGCACTTGTTGAATGCTTGGTGAGAAGGAGAACAGCTGCTTGCCCTTAGGAAGCCTGGAGCCTCTAACACAAGCTTCCAGAGGCCCTACAGCAACCCAACAGCCAGATCCTTATTCGCAAGGCAAGAAGGAGGACAAGGAGGTAAAGACAGCAATTCCTCTGAGCCCACCTATAGCTTTCCTTGTTTATCTGGAGAGTGAAAGTAATGAAAGCTGGAAAATCACTAACAGAGCAATCCACAGATTCATTTATTTGTAACAGTGCAATCCTATTTCCAGTAGGGTGTCCACGTTAAGCCTGTTGCAGCAAAAACAACACAGAATCTTATAGTACCTTAAAGATGAACATGTTTTATACCATAAGCTTTCATGGCTGATTAAAAAGATATATAAAAGAGCAATCCTATGCTTGCATACTCTGAAGTTAATCCCACTGTGTGTTCAACAGAGTTAACTCACAGGAAAGTGTTCATAAACTTAAAGCCTATTCCATTTAAAGGGGGGTTTCTTATTTATAGACCATCAGGTATAAATGTTTTCTACATACAGTAGTATCATGTGGAGTACATGCCAATGTTCCAATCAAAAAGATGCAAAGCTCAGGTACTTGACAACTGACATGCCGATGCTACAGGCATGTGAACCGGTGGAAGATGGTCCATTAGGGCAAATAGGGGATTGTCTCACCAACGCCAGCCTGCTCTTAGTCAGCCCCAACCTGCTTGCCATCTTAGTTACAACCAGTGAGGGATGGGCCATGGCTCAGTGGTAGATCATTTGCTTTTCATGCAGAGGCCCCAGATTCAATGCCTGGCACCTCCAGGTAGAGGATCTGCAATCCTATAGAGATGCTACCAGCCAGTGTAGACAATAATGAGTTAGATAGGCTACTAGTCTGACTAAGGATAAGGCAGTTTCCTATGTTCCAGTCAAGGCATCGCTCTACCTTGGCTTTAGCTCCGTTTAGTCTTGGTCTCCCTGCCTTCCACTCCACCAGTTCCAACGGTCCCAAGTCCCCATTGTTGTGGGCTGGTGAACAACTTATATAGAACAATGTCCTTCCCAGGTTTCGGTCAGGTTAAAATTGACCTACATTCCAAACTGAGAGTTCTTCTTTGGCTCTGATGGAAGAAAACAAATGAATATCAAACCCTCTCAAACAGAAAAAAAAGTATTTCTTATGTGAGAAGTCTTTGGGGACAAAACTGCTGCATCCCAGATCCACTTTTTGCTGTCAAATAATTGCCAATTGCAGGGATGTCAAACAATTACAAAGCAAAACACACTCACTTTCCTTAAAGGACTGTATACCTCCTCAACCCCCCCCCCCCCACTCCATTTTGCTTTCCAAAGAAAGATAACACAGCCGAGATTGTGTTTATTCTCCAACTACTTTTAGTACTATAAATATTTTACTCTCCAATTGCATCTGTTCGATAGTCTAAAGAGTTAAACTCCCCGAAGAACTGTTAATGCATCCAAAAGCTTTTCTGTGTCTCTCCCCCGCATGCCTTCCATTATTTAATGAATTTCAAAAGTCTAGTGGCCACCACCAGCTAGAATGGTAGGAACAGAGAAATTCCAGAATGGTATACAGGGAACATTGCCAACTCTCCAAAAAATAGCAGAGAGGAGGCACTGGCAGTAAAGGCAGTGAGCTGGCCATCTGCTTAGTTAAAAAAAATAAAATTGCTTGAAAGAAGAGCAGAGGAGCAGCACTTCAGCTAAACAGAGCAATAAAACCAACAGGGAGAGGAGCATTGCAAACAGAGATAAAATGAGAGTCAATCAATTGTCAGTTTATCTGGCAATGCAGAGCACATGCAGATAGTGCCTCAAGGAATGGCTCACACATGCATGCTCATCCACAGATGACCTAATATTAGAATACTTTTTATAGGAAAATATTCAGTTGAGAATTATTGCAGTAGATAACAAAGGATCTGTGGCAGTTGATGAGCACAGTGTTATAAATGCTTATATGAACTCACTCAGAATTCAGGAACTGAATACACTGTTTCCACTGAGACCTCATCCACACTTTGACTTGCCAAGAAAGCACAGCAGTTCTCCATTTGTCCTATGCTTTCTAGACACAGGTCTGAGCAATTTTGCTTTTGCCTCCCCACTTTCCCCCAGAAAAAAACCACTCTTTAGCGCTAAATTGGAACAAACGACAATCTGATTCAGCACAAAACCATGGGTTTTCCCAGGGGGGAGGAGTGTGTGGCTCAGTCAGGAGGCATAAGACACAAAATCCAACTGCAGGGGTGGGGAATCAGCATTGCAATGTTTATTTATATTCTCTTAACTTCAAGCAAATACTTACCTTTTCATTAGCTTACTGTACAGGAAGTTACAACCCTTCCAGACTGGTGTTTTATTGTAGGTGCATTCTGCAACATCTTAGCACAGTGATGGCCAAACTTGGCCCTCCAGCTGTTTTGGGACTACAATTCCAATCATCATTGACCACTGGTCCTGTTAGCTAGGAATGATGAGAGTTGTAGTCCCAAAACAGCTGGAGGGCCAAGTTTGGCCATCACTGTCTTAGCACAACAACAGTGCATCAGTGGTGGATATATACTGCTTTAAGATTGTACTGTGTTGCTTCTCCAGCGCTACCACATTATTGTTGTCTGGAAGTGCCTATAAGGGCAAAAAATAAACCAGAACATCTGTGATATTTTAAACAAAAAAAGGGGGGGGATTTCAGGAGGACGAGCTGGGATTTGCACTGATTGGACTGCCCCAAAACCTTTTCAGGCACAAACACCATTAAAAGCTGGATGGCATGTGACTGCCCCAATAGCGTCAAGAGCACAAATCATTCATGTAACCTCAGACTACTCCTCCTAACTAGAGAACATGAGGATAAATGCAAGAAGTTGACCTGCGAAATACAGAAGACTGCAGTATTTTTTAATCTTTAATATATTGATGAAGTCCTGCCGAGACCACACATCTCCGTATGTGATACTCCAATTTGATCTCAGTGGGCTGGAACAGTTATGACTGCATGAGCTACTGCTTCATATTAAAGAAGGGTAACCAACAGTTTTGCTTTTAAGAACTCACTTTGGCTCCATTTAGCTTGTGGTTTGTCCTTGGATGCCCTTCCCCTGCCTCTTTAAGTTGTTCTGATTTATACAGACACATCCTTGGGCGCTCCAGAGCAAGCATTGGATGATGAATGTTACAAATCTGCTGCATCACATTAACGGGAAATGTTTCATTGGCTGATCAGAAGTTAATGAAACAATTCACCAAATACCAACACTTCTTCAGTTTAGTTTAGGTTTTTTTATTATTCTTCTTCACATTTCATTACACTGAAGTTTTCTAAGTTCACAAACTTCTAAAAGAGAAACATTTGGTTTGAGTGAAGTGATGGTGTTCAAAAGGCTTAATGTGCTACTAGTATTGATCTGAAGCAGTTATGCTTCACAATATACAACTTGAGAGTGAAGTTTCTATGATCATATGCATATTCATCACAAAGATGCACAATGAATGTACAGTGCTGTGCATATAATCATAAGAATATAAGATGAGCCTGATTGGATCAGGCCAAAGGCCAGTCTAGTCCAGCATCCTGTTCTAACAATGAGAAACCAGATGCTGATGGGAAACTAGCAAACAGATCTGAGTATCTTTTCCGCACTTGTAATTTCCAACAAGTGGTATTCAGAGGCATAGTTTCTCTTATAGTGGAGGTAAAGCATGACCATCATTGCTAATGAGCATGCCTATCATTGATAGCCTTTATCCTCCATGAATCTGTCTAATCCTGTTTTAAGAGCTCTCTAAGTTGATGGCCATACTAAATCTTGTGGAACATGTGTTTGCCATGGTATTTGAGAGTCAGCGTGTGTAGTGGTTGGGATGCTGAATTTGTGCTTTAAATACTTGTGCTCAAATCCTTCTTTGGCCACAAATCCCATTAAGTAGCCTTGGGGCACTCAGTATATCTCAGCCTAACCTATGCCAACAGGATAGTTGTGAAATTTAACCAGGAGAACCTATGTATGCTCTCTGAACTGAAATAATGAGAGGTCAGATTCAAATACATATTACCTAGAGAATGCAGAAAATGCAATCATAATATTCCTTTTCCTCAAGGCCTCTTGGAAATTATACATAATATCAGAGATATTATGTGGACTAGTAAGTCAATATATCTATATTCCCCTAGGCTTATTGGGGGTTTTGTACATTGACTGAAAAATGTGCACACTTCCTTTTTGTGTATCCATTCTCCATGAGGACTGGGAAATGTGCACAATGGCCAGCCAGTATAATTGCATCCTGAGGCCCCAAGACCCACCCCCAAAATAAATACACACAGACACTTATATTAGTTTAAATTTTTGGGCAACAATTTTGGCCACAACTTTATTGAAATACAATCACGTGAGCGGTATTGGCTTAGGCATTGACTCCCCACTATAATTGGCTCCACCTCTCAGGATGATCGTCAAATGGGGTAAACCAAACGAGGGAGCTAGGTTGATGAGGACCAACCAGCTCACCCCGGTGTTCCTGTGGTCCTGGCATGGCCCTAGCCCCTCAAGCAGACTTCGGATGAGATCCAGGACCCCCAGTTTCCTTTAACGGAATACCCAGTTCTTAGAGGGGCAGGTGATGTCCGAACCTCCCCTCCCCACAATCCAACTGAGCCAATGCCTAACCGCCACCTTACAAGTTGTGATGATTTGCTAAGGGGTAGGTGAAAACCAAATGGCTAAAGCCAATCTGCCAAATGGGAAGAATTCCTACCCAGCCCCTGTTCCAAAACAGGCGACCCAAACCAAAGCAAGGCCAAGTGACTCTAACTAAACTAGGGAGGGTGGGCAAGTGTTCAACAGTGCGAAGCAAGTGCCCCTCCTTGCATCACACTGCTGTTTTTAAAGCCCCTGGGATCACGCCACCCACTGGCTATTGGCTAAAATCACCTGGTGTGATCCCAGGGGAATGGTCAGGACTTCTTGCTCCCCCCCCCATTTTAACCCTATCAGATGAGCTCTTGGGTCCCACACGCAACCAGGACCCTCTGTTATGAGGATCCCATCTACCATCATCTTCATCTTCACAATGTATTAATTGCCTTCTAAGCCACCATCACGAGATGATTTAACATAAAATAATTAAAAACAGTTTAAAACACAAAATTAACAAATATATTTAAAACAAGACTAAAACCATGAAAAGTGGACACCCATGGTAAAGACTCATTTATCCAGCTGTTGAAACAAAAAAGTATTCTATTATGCACGTTAACCACTCAGCCACATACCTCTTAACATATACACATGTCTTGCTGGAAAAATTATTGTAAGCATGATGGATCTTGGGGCAGATGACAGAACATTAATAATAATAATAATAATAAATTTTATTTATATCCCGCCCTCCCCAGCCGAAGCCGGGCTCAGGGCGGCTAACAACAATCAAATAATCCAACATTCTAAAGACATTTCATTATAAAAATTAATTAAAATCAAATTGATAGCAACCGTTAAGCAAAATTCTGTGCAGGTTGCCAGAGGAGGGAGTCAGGTTGCGCCCTGACCAAAGGCCTGGTGGAACAACTCTGTCTTGCAGGCCCTGCGGAAAGATGTCAGGTCCCGAAGGGCCCTAGTCTCTTGTGACAGAGCGTTCCACCAGATTGGAGCCGCAGCCGAAAAAGCCCTGGCTCCAGTTGAGGCTAGCCTAACCTCTCTGTGGCCTGGGACCTTCAGGATGTTTTTATTTGCAGACCGTAGGTTCCTCTGTGGGGCATACCAGGAGAGGCAGTTCCGTAGGTACGAGGGTCCTAGGCC